ATTGCTGGTAAGGTGTCAAACGTCTCCTATTTTAACAATGTACAACCACCTGAACAGATAAAACAAAGTTTTAATGGGCCTGCTGGAATCAGCCTCTGCAAAATTAAAGCAATAATTCACAGCTTCATGTTTGAGTGTTTCTTACAGTGACTGGCAGAGCTGAAACACTCATTTGGATGCGTTTCCATAGACGGGGTTTATTTTTCCATTGAGTCTCTTGCCATGTGCAGATTTAACATGTTGTGGTCTCATTTAAAAACAGCTTTCAAAATAAAGCAGCCATTTATCATCCCTGCTCGATGATTGATATATTCATGTTCTAATAAAACAAACTACAGGGGCAAAGTAATGGTAGTCACTGATCGTTTTCAGATCAGTGTGTGTGTGTGTGTGTGTGTGTGTGTGTGTTTGTGTGTAAGTGAGTGCATCGTTGGTGTATGGATCATGTTTACATTTGCATCTGCAGATGCAGGCAATAACACTGATCAATGTTAGTGTCTGTGTGTCTGCATGTGTGATGTGGGGGGGTGGGGGGGGGGGGTGGATTTTGTGTTTCCACATGTGTCCAGATGCAGCTGAGCGAACAGGAAATGTGGTGTTAACTGCAGCCGCCCACAGGTTAAATGGTGTCACACTGAGAGGAAGGGTTAAATGGAACCACATGGACACACACACACACACACACACACACACACACACACACACACACACACACACAAACAGATGCACATGGACACACATCGTACACAAGCAACAAAATCCTTTCCTTTTTCAGAGTGTTCGATACACACAATACAAGTACTTTACATGTGGTTAAAATGCTGCTTCTCACTCACTCTCCCTCTCCATTTTGAAGTGTCATACACAAAATTCTTTATATACAAGTCATCTTTGAATGTGACCACTTGCCTTTTTTCTTTGTCTCTTAATTGTCTGTTTAACAGGCTGAGTGTGTGAGTGTGTGTACATGTATGTGTGTTCACTACAGCGCAGCAGCAGAAAGCCCCGTTCTGCTATATATTAGCGGTTTTGTCAGGCCTCGGTGTTTGGCCCTGTTGCCATAGGGACAGACCCTGCAGGCAAGCTTTAGGGCTACTCTATTAGCATTAGTGTTGTTTATGATGGCGGCGAACGGAGCAAGGGAGGGAAACAGGGGGGAAAGGGGGAGAAAGATACTGACAGATAGAGAGGCAGTGCCAACTAAAGTATTGGTCTCTTCTGACTGTCTTCTAGGTCTTTTTTTTTTTAACTTTGGTATTATTACTTTGAAAGGATTACACGTACGATAAGATAAGATAGAACTAGAATTCCTTGCAAGATAAACACAGTTCTATCTTATATCTCCATTCTCCTAACTGTGATTCCTTTTCTTCAAAGGATCCATCCACAACTTTTAACATTCCTGACTGTGTCAATCTGTCACTTCTTTTCTATCCTATCCTTTTTCTCATCTTTTGTGTGTGCAAAATGTTGAAGGTGAAAGTGGTGAAAGTGCAAACAGAACCATTTCTATGAAAGCTTGAAGTGAATTTCATCCAAATTCCAAATACATCCAAATTATTAGAAAAAAAGAAATGACTGCATCATCGATCAACAACTGTATTTTCCATTTCCTCTGCCATTTTTGGGGTTTTAAGAGTGCAATCAAAACGTATTACTTAATTTCCGAAGACAAATGAAGGGCTCAACCTCCATTCGACTTGGTCTCATTTTTTGTTTTACTGTTGGCCGACAGTGTCCTTTTAAAGACGCCTTCCAATCCTCCAAGGAAAAACAAATGAACATGGTTTACCTTTGTTCCGGAGGATTTGGCATCGCCATGGTTGTTTATGACTGCAGCAGGTGGGCTTCATATCTGCAGGAGGCAATATTATTTCATCATAAGTACAAAGGTCAACTGGGTTATGTCTTGGTTTTGCCCTCTCTCTACAAGGCTTGGAGGGACCCGACATCTCTAAACTAACTAGGTTTGTAGAAAAGGCAATAGTTTACTCTTTAGTTATGACAGTTGTCCCTTTGAAACAGGCTACAGTATGTGCCACAATCATTAAAAGCATTAGTAATTACATCCTTTCTTAAAAAGTGTCCTTTAAATAGCTGAGCTGTGTAATTCAGGTCGTTCCATTTAACCAGGACATGTAGCTTAACTCTCACATAAAACTAATGTAAGTCCAACCAGTACACCCATGTAGGATTGCAAAACTCAGGAAATTACAGGATAAAAAATGCAGAAAAAGTAGTCTGTGATTGTGGCACCAAGGTTGCATTTTTATAATACTCAGGCATCTGATACTGACTGTCTGCCTATAAATTCAACAATACAGTTTTTAAACATCCTTCTCACCTAAAAAGATCTTAATGGTCATTGGCTAACGATCATCATCATAAATAGTGCACCATTACCGCTCCAGAACATTGCGCTTCCAGTCTGTAGGCCTGCTTGTGGTATCTAAAACTCATTGGAGGTCGAACTTTTAATTATCAGGCCCCTCTCCTTTCGAATCATGTACAAGTTTGTAGTGTTGAAGTACTCGAAATCGGTCTTGTCTCGGTTTGGGACTGGGGGGAGACTCCAGATTTTAAATCAAGACTGGTCAACACCACCACTGATTTTCCAACTTTTCCACATCATTTCTTTGATTCGAAGGAAAACACCCCTTTCTAAAACTAGAATAACTTCAATTCATACGTAGTTTGAAATTATTAATCTTTTTTTTGTATGCATTGTTACTACCCCCTTGCATTATCACCGTAATGTTTAAGTGTTCTCTTTACTATGTCAGTGTTGTTTTTTGTTGTTGGTCTCTATTTTTCCCTCTCTCTCCATGTCATATGATCAGACCCGAAAAGTCAGCAAACACTTGCACTTCACTTAATTAGGTGCTGAGTCATCAAAAATCACTAGATATGATGCACACTAAGGCTCTCTTTTGGGAGCTATAGTCCTTGTGCACCGTCACTGGATCAGACCAACCAGTGGAACCAGATTTCTGTTTACCATGAGTATTATTTGTCTCAAGGTTCCTACAATTCTACAATTCACTTAGAAGACGCTTTAATCCAAAGCGACATACATCAGAGAGTAAGTACAACACAAGCAAGGATCTAGAAAAAAGGGAACAATGTCAGTAAGAGCAAACAATCAGCTTTGAGTCCCATTGGACACACAGGTGCTGACAGGCATTGCACAGAGGCAAAGCACAACATTGACGGCAGTTCTTGAGAGATGTAATCAGTATAGAAACCATCTTATAAGTCAAAGTTATTAAACAAAAACAATCGTCACAACCATCATCATCATCAATGATATCGAGACCATGATCATTAAGTTAGTAGGTATTTATGAAAGAGCTGGGTCTTTAGCTTTTTCTTAAAGGTACAGAGGGACTCTGCAGATCAAATGGAGTTTGAAAGTTCATTCCACCACCAGGGGGCAACAGAGGAAAAGAGTCTAGTCAGCGTCTTAGGACCCTGTTGTGAAGGTTGGATCAGACGCCTTTCATTGGTAGAGCGTAGTGGGCAGGAGGGAGTGTAGACCTGGATGACAGAGTTAAAGTAATTTTTTGTCGCTGTTTTGTAAGCGAGCAGCAGAGTTTTAAATTTGATGCGAGCAGTAACTGGGAGCCAGTGTAAGGAGATGAAAGCGGAGTGACATGTGCTCTTTTAGGAAGGTTGAAGACCAGTCGTGCTGTTGCATTTTGTATCATTTGCAGAGGTTTGATAGTGCATGTAGGAGGACCTGCCAGTAGAGAGTTGCAATAGTAGATGCGTGATATCACCAGAGCCTGTACCAGGAGCTGTGTAGCGTGTTCTGACAGGTAAGGTCTGATCTTCCTGATGTTGTACAGGGCAAATCGACATGACTGGGCAATCGAGGCTAATTGCACCTTAAAAGTTAGCTGGTCATCAATCATGACACCCAGGTTCCAGGCAGACTTTGTGGGCATGAGTTTGGTTGTTCCAAGCTGGATATTGATCTGTGGTTGCATAGAGGGACTGGCTGGGATGACAAGGAGCTCAGTCTTTGAAAGATTGAGTTCAAGGTGCCGTTCATTCATCCATTTAGAGATATCAGCAAGGCATGATAAGATTCTTGCAGAGACTGTAACATCATCTGGCGGGACTGACAGGAAGAGCTGGGCACCAAGCACTGACCCTTGAGGTACCCCTGTGGATAAGCTGTGCGCTTTGGACACTTCTCCCTTCCACGACACTCTAAAGGATCGCCGGTTCCTGCCTGTTGAAAGGGAAGTCTTTCCCTGCCACAGTATACAGAGCTTGCTCATGGTGGATTTATGTTGGGTGCCTCTCAATGATAAAACATACAAGTGATCTAAACCTGCCCTTTATGTAAATTGTCATTTGATAACAATTTCTATGATTCAGAGCTTTATAAACACATTTATAAACTGATTGATTGATTGGTTTGGATAAAGATTGATTTAGTTGTTCATCTTGACGTTTCACTTGAAGCCCAGCAGCTCCTGTCCATGATTGGTGCTTCCTTTGATTGGTGGAAGATCTTTGCCAACTGACACAAGGCTGCAAAGAGAGAGAGGCGGAAGATGTTGCATCAGGTTTCAAAATGTTAATAGCATACGGCATCTTTATAACTTAGCTCATAGCTTCACATTGACTCAAACTGCTTTTATATGAAAGGAGAGGAGACAGCCACCCTGTCCATGTAAACACGATGCAAAATGTTGCACTTTCTTCCTTTAAGGAGCTTAATCTTGGATTTTTAAAAAGAGTGTTAGCACAGTGAGGGAGAAGACATGGGTAAAACACATTTGAAAAAATAGAAAAAGACAACAATTCATTTGCTAAGTTCATAAATATTTGTCAGAGGATTGTCAGCATAGCTCTCATCTGTGCTATAGTTGATTCATTACTTGTCAAACTGCTGAATGACTCTTTACTTCCTCTGTGTACAATGTCTCAAGTAGAAATACAGCCCCCCATATTCCACTGAAAAGTGTGTATTAGGTTTTGGGCACAGATTTACATTTATTAAACAAAAGTTAAAAAAAAACAAGTTTTACATAATGTGTTTAAAGTTGCTTCATAATCCATCTCAGTGAAACATTGCAACTTTTCGCATTAGTCAAAGTTTCATTCAACACAAAAACAAGCTGTGGGTTTCTTTTTGGTGCATTCAAGGACATGCTGGCGTCTTACAAGCACGGCATTCATGTGCTGAAGGATAAATAAAACACAAATGCCAATAAATATAGGAAACAATATATGTTAAGATGGCTGCAAGGTGGTGCAGTGGTTAGTGCTTTTGCCTCACACAGTGAGAAGGTCCCTGGTTCGAATCCCCATCGTACAGGAGTCTCTCTGTGTGGAGTTTGCATGTACTCATCGTGTGTGCGTGGGTTCCATTCAGGGTACTCCGGCTTCCTCCCACAGTCCAAAGACATGCTCGTTACGATAACTGGTGAATCTAAATTGTCTGTAGGTGTGAATGTGGCTGGTTGTCTGTCTCTATAAGTCAGCCCTGTCTGCGCAGGGTGTACCCCGCTTCCCACCCAATGACAGCTGGGATCGGCCCTGGTCCTCTGCAACCCAAAACCGGATAAGCAGTATAGATAATGGATGGATGTATGTTGAGAAGTGAATCATATGGCTTTAACAGCTTGCTTGAATGTCAAATGTCAGAGATATAAACACGTACCAAATAGTCCCTGCTTGAAACTTACCACACAAAGATAACATGTGGTCATGTTTATCTGGCATTAAGTCATAAAGCTAATAGAAAGACTGGCAATCCTTCCTCTCACACTCTCCTTCTCAGCATCTCATGCTCATGCTTTATTTGCTGGCAAATTTTGTAGAAAGCACAATATATACTATCCATATATAACAGCAAAATATTAGAATTAATACTCACTTTCAAAATAAAATGTTTTAAACAATTTCAACACTATATCTTAGAAAATAAAATTCAGAAATGTTGCATCTCATTGAAAAAATAAAGGCTCCAGAGGTCAATATTTATACAGTAATATGTCTGAGTGTATTTCAGGCGTTGTCAGGGAAAGTTGTGGGAAAAGTGTTATCAGACCAGAATTGGAGGGTCTGGGGTGATTTAAAAAAAAAAAAACAGGCAGCAAAGACACACAGATACAGTCACAACTTTCCCCGCTTGCACACACATAATTGTTGGGTCTTGACAAACACCATCACAAATACATAAAGTTATCTTACTTATGTGTGCACTTAACACATACAAAGTCACTCCTAACACATCCACATGTACACACACACACACACACACACACCGTGGGATCCTTGTTGCACGTATCCAGAACATTAACCACACTGTTTATCCACCTACGCTCAACTGTAGCATGTTACCACGACAACGCCAGCAGCCATAACTCCTCAACAGACTGAAATGATCATTAATCTTCTCAAGTCTCTCTCCCAATGGACCAGTAATGATACGTTAGTATTCCAACCTCCTTGCACCACTGCGTCGGTGGACTATCACCCACCAAACGAAAATATGAGGCAATGGCATCTTGGAGACATGGATAAAGACATTTGAGAGCAGAACGTTGCCAGTTTGAATCCCGGTACAGCGAGGAAACTGTGACCGAGGGAATGGATGCCTGCACTATCACTAAAGACTCCCACTGAAACAGATCAGACAATGCATATTGAAGTTACAAAACAGATGACTCTTTTTATCACTAGTCAAAGGAAAAAGGCTGCTCTAATTTATAATGATCGTAATCATCAAGTTGCATCACTTAGGGAGCACATAACAATCTTAGATTTCTTCAACATTCTATTCAAACCTCAAACCTTCAAAAAAAAAAAGAGTGTGTTAAACTGTTGCCAGGGGCGTCATGCCCAATCAAACTGGGGGGGCTGGAGCCCTCTCAGATGTTTTTAAAACCTACAGGAGTGTTCTCATATCTTAGTATTAAAAAACATTATTTTATATAATATGTAGTAATGATTAAAGTTTGGAAGAGATCTGATTAAAAAAAAGCTCCCAAAAACAAGAGGGAATTTAGCATAATTTACCTGAGGTTTCCTCAAACTGACAGAGAAAAAATCCACATTATACCTTTGATTATGAGTGTTTCAAAATGCATAACTCTTCACAGTTTTTTTCCACAAAGGACCCCTAAGACCCCCCTCTAACTTAGCCCTCCTAGATTTTTGGCTTTCATGACGCCCTGACTGTTGCAAAGTGCTAATGTCAGTTTTTCTTGAAACTTGAAAAGTTTCCCTCGAAGCCCTAAGTGGACATACATTCATAAAAAATTTTAAAATTATTATTTCAGTTGCTTTCTCAAAGTTTAAACTTATTTATCTTGTTATCGCTGAATAACAACACTAAAACTGTCACGTTCGTGGAAAAACAAGGAGTGGGTCCCAATGACAGAACAAAAAATAGTTTAAAGCAAAAAGTCAAAAACAAAGCTTACTTCTTTTAGAGGTTCAAACAAAGTCCATCAATATCTTAACACAGAGGAAAAACACAGACATTCACAGGAATCCACAATACAGACACAAGGAAGGTAGACATATGACAAACTACGAACACTGAGACTAAATAGACACAGAGGTAATCAGACACAGGTGAGACTAATGACACAGGGGAAGACAATCAGGGAAATCAGAAGTGGAGGGAAATCAGACAAAGGGAGGAAATAAGATAAGAGAAGGAGACAATAACTTCAAAATAAAACAGGAAACACTAAAATACAGAAAACCACAAGGTAAAAAGCAACACCAGGGAAGAATGACAAAAACTAAAACAAGAAAGAAAATCTAAACTCTGAAGTGAACAAAACAACAAAACTAAACCAGAAATCCATCACAATGACGAAAAATTCATGAGATTCTGAGAAAAAATAAAATGTTTCTTGTGTGCACAAAATAATGTATTTTTTTTTACTTTCTTTTCTGAACTTCAAAAATGTGTGGCTGTATGTCCGCTTGGTGCTTCAGTAGTTTCTAACAAGATTTATTATCAAAAACCTTTATTATTTCAGGGAGAAAATGAGGTGCAGGTTATAGATTCTGTTCATACAAAAGAGAATGTGTGGTATGCTTCTTTCAAGTGTTCTGCATGCTTTGAAACCACGGAGCTAATGGCAGTCCTTGTGAAAGCTTCTGCTCGCACATGGCGCCGAGGGACAGGAAAAATTGCCATGGTAACTGCGAGTTTCACTAATTATAGATGTCACTGTAACACTATGATTGTGGGTACTGTAGTTATTTTCCCCGATATTGTGAAAATGAATGGGATTTTTAATTCCGGCTCCACACTGTTGAGCCTCATTACCTGGACAAAATGTTGCTGGTATTCCGCAGTTTTCTTATTATTTGAATTGTAAGCGTTTTGAGATCACAGTTATTTCGTGTAAATTTACATGCAGTGTGAAGCTACGAGCAAACTAAAGAGCACTAACATTAGCATGCTAACACAACAATGCAGCTCGAGTTGTTTTGGTTTCTTGCTGATGCTCGAGGGCAACATCTACTGGATCGAAAAGTCGCATATTCTTTCTGAAGCTGAGAATGAGTCAACCTCTGCTAATAGTAATGTTATCTGGGGAACATATCCAATTAAGTTTGAACTGAAAAAGCCAGCTTACCATGCTGGTAAGGAATCCATCACTCACTATGGCAGCGCTTCAGTTCACCACTACAATTCTGCAACCAAAAGCGAATCGCTCATGGTATATCGAACATTCCTGAGGCCGCATTCCCCATTCTCTCGCACCGCCCGATCGACCGCAGTGACATGTTTGTTTTGTTTGCACGCTAGGCAAAAGCTAAGATAAATATACAGCTTTTGGGATGCTACATGTGATGGGTTATTAATTCCACATTTTATGACAGACAATAATGTCTGGTTGAAGGGTGGGGGTGACAGAGGTTAGGGTGTGGGTTGTGTAAGAAGCACATGTCATCTAAACGAAATGGCTTTGGGCAGAATGAGAGAAGAGTGAAGAGAATCTGAAGGAAAGACAATGTAAGTAAATGAAAACCTCAGATCTGATTTGAATCCCCGTCGGACAGGATCCTCTCTGTTGGAGTTTGCATGTTCTCTCCGGGTACTCCTGCTTCCTCCCACAGTCCAAGGACATGCTCGTTAGGTCAATTGGTGACTCTATTGCCCGTACAGTAAGGGTGAATGTGAGTGTGGCTTCTTATTTGTCAGCTATGTGATTGAGTGGCAAACAGTCCTTGGTGTACCCCGCCTCTCGCCCAATGACAGCTAGGATCGGCTCCAGCCCCCCAGCGACCCCTAACGGGAAAAAGCGGTACAGATAATGGATGAATGGACTTCCAATTTTTCCTGTCTGTATCTGTATCTGTATGTAACATTGATGGACATTGGCAACTGACCTGCACTTTCAAAACGACTTATAGCCAATTAATAAATGATATTAATTCAAGAGTCCAAACCAAAGCAAATTCAACAACTGGAAGGCTATGCATATGAAAGAAACTGCAAACTGTATTTAAATCAAATGACACACATTAAATACACAAAAAGACCAACATTCAGAAAGCAACTGCAAAGAGACAAACGCTGCAAATACAGTCTTTCTTGGAGAGACCTTTGCTTTCCTGCAGCTCTTTGTCCTGCTCATAGTAAGTCGATGCGGAGAGCGGCAGGCCGTCCCCGACCCAGAAGCACCCCGGGACTGTAAGAGCAATCACTGGAAAAGTTTATTTCTGTCGGGAAAGAGTGAGGCAGACCAGCCACTGAATGTTTTGTTCAGATAGGTAAGTAAGTTTGAAGAATGGGGGTTACATTAAAAGTTACTGCAACAAGTCCTGTCTGGACTCACACACCGAGGATGAGACAGCTGAGCAGGATGCCTGCAGCAGGAGCTCTTTTTTTTATTTTGTTTTATCCTCAGTTCTTTATCATTAAACATGGACCCACAGCGCTAGGCTGGTGTCTTTGTTACGATACAGTCTTTGTATCAGGTTAGATATTAGTGTGCACAGTCAGGAGGATAGCTGTCGAGCCTCAGCTACTGTCCTTGACAACTATCTGTGGGAGGGCACTCCTCATACACTGAACTGAATTTGTGTGTGTGAGAATTTTCCTTTGACTGATAACTGCTTACGGATGTTACTGTTTGAAAAGTTTAAATCAAATATACTTGGAGAAGTTACCTGGACTTAAGTTGCTAAATTTACATCTCATATGTTGGATGCTTGGCAGCTAGCACAGGCGTCAGTCCTCATAGCTTTTTCCCTAATAAACCGTTGCCTGCTGGTGCTGGAGATGGGGTTGATGCGAGCGGTGATGGTGAACAAAACAAGTGGTAAACCAAAACAAAGATTGTAAAACACTGTGTTGTAGATCTACAGGTAAGCTGCTGAATGTATGATTCATAAAGAGGAGAACAACTCAACATCAAAGCATTCACACACACTCATTGTATTTATATTAACAGTCGGCAAAGGAGAGATATGTGAGTCAGTGTCTTGTTTCATGCTGTTATTAGTTTCTCTGGTGAAGCTGGATCTCAGTGAAATATGAGGTGTCCTTTTTTTCTCTCCCCCCTCTTCTCCCTCCTTCTCCGTCTGACGTCAAACTTCTGAACAGCAGCAGAAACACACGGCCTGGATGTGGCACCCTTACAAAACTTAATAACACACGTCAAGAGTCCCCAACCCATAACTGGTTGTGTAACACCGGTGGATCATATTAAGCTTCTATTTTTGCACTGCCTTGGAAGCCGTCTGTCTGTTACACAATAAAACATACACTCCTTTATTTATTTTTTTATTTTTTAGTTTAACCTCCAAAGGATTCTCATAGATTGTATTTTCTGTCTGTACCTTTGTGTTCAAGTCAGCCCTATACTTTTAAGGCTGAGAAATGTTTCAGTTGAAGTTGAAACTGTTTTCACACATGCACTTGTGGAAATTTCTGGAAGATTTCTGGACAGCCTGCCCCTGGGATCTTCCTGGGTTGCTTATTCACATACGTATGTCCCTAAACTGTTTCGAAGAGAGAAGTTTAAAAGACTGTTGTCCAACCTGCCTTCTTGGATTTCTGCAGTCTGACACTGTAATGACAGTGTGTTTTTCTCAATCAATCAATTTTTATTTGTATAGCGTCAACTCATAACAAGTGTTATCTCGAGACACTTTACAAAAAGCAGGTAAAAGACCTTACTTATTGCTATGTTACAAAGATCTGGCCTATCCATCATAAGCACTTAAAAACTGCCTTATTAAAAGGCAGAAATCTTCAGCTGGATCGACGGCTCAATGCTATTTGTAACTGGATACAATCGTGGTACGATCCAATGAGTGGAAAGGAACAAACTGGCAAGCAGCAAAGAGCATGACTCAGCACAATCGCATTGTGGGGCATCATATACCTCATCAACCCTGCCATCTCGTTCACAGTGGGGGGTTTTTCCTGAATGTTCACACATCCGCATAACCCAGCTTCAATGTAGAAATGTAAACTAATGGGCTGGCAGGAAAATTCACAGGAAAGTCGGGGTGAAAAATGTGTCCGTTTGCACGTAGGTCAAACCAAATATCTGAGGAAATGTTCACACACACACGTTTCTGCATGTGTCAAACGTCATGAGATCAGGATGTTATCAAATAACCAATGTAACAGTGTTATAAATCTTATATGGAACAGGATGTAATCTTTATAAAGTAAAAAAAAAGCTGAGTCATGTTAACTATGTCACCCAAATAAGTGACAACATGTAAAATACTGTAGTAAGCCTTTGTTTATTGCAGTCATGCATATGAAGTGTCATAGTATGTAGTCTTCCATTTATCCAAACTAAGTGCCCAAAAATATTGTGTTGAGTCAATTTGTAGGTTTTGTCTCAGTTGTAGAGTTGGTTGTCTCTCGACCTGAAGGTAAAGGGTTCGATCCACAGCTCCAGCAGTCACATGAAGTGTCTTATACTGTATTGGGCAAGACAATAAAACCCAACTTCCTCTTGCAGCTTCATCAGTTGGTGTATGGCTATGAATGAATGGGATTGGTTAATACTGATGGACACTTTACAAAGCAGCCTCTGCCATCAGAATGTGACATGCATCCTTTGTACTTGTATTGATTTTGCAATTGGAAAAAAGCGATAAAATCATTGTACATTTGTGCAGTGTTGATAAATCAGAGACCTCTGACACCATTTAATGTTTTCAGGGAAAAAGAGAAAAGCCAAAATAGTTTGAATCAGAAATGGTTTGTTGTTGTTTTGTATTTCTGGTTGAGTTCATTCTCTTTTTTTTTTTAAATGTTGCAATGCATTCTGGCTAACTGTAGTGTATGAAAACTGTAAACGAGCATTGCAATAAAGAATCAGAAATGGGAGGTTCATATTTTTTCAAACATATTGTCACCTACCCCTTTGTACAAAACAATAGTTTTTTTCTCACTATGTGAGGAGTGGTTAAAAAAAATCAACAAAAACTACCCCATGGCTCAGTTTACAAAGAACAATGGTAACTGGAGACGTGATATTTTCCCACATTAGATTATTTTTAACCTGGCTTG